GGCCATGCCTAGGCTGAACCCTAAGTATAGACCAAACAAACCCTAAGCATAATACACAAAAAAAACAACAAAAAAAACAACCTAAGCATGAGCTGAAAGTAACGGAGAACCTAACAACCTAATCCTAACGCTAAGGATAAGCCTTACCCCCTAACCCTAAGCATAAGGGAAACCCTAAACCTTACTTTCTCATGCTAATAGTATTGCTAGTATAAACATAATAAAACATGCAGTATAAATTAATCTTTCCATTTTGCTTAAAAGGCTTAAAAGGCACAGGCTGTTGAACAAACGGTGGGTCACCAGGCTTATAGTACCCACTGCCATTTATGTCCTTGTCCCGATATCATTTGCCTGGGGCAGGAGTCGAACCTGCAACATTTGTTCAGACAGCACTCTATTCTACTCTACTCTACTCTACTCTACTCTACTCTACTCTACTCTACTCTACTCTACACATGGTGTGGTGTGGTGTGGTGCCTTTTTTAAAATGTACACTTTTCAAGTTTGTTAATATTTCAACAACAGCAATTTATTAACTATGCAATAAAAAAAGAATTAGAAATGACAAGATTTATTAATTTGCTATTATTAGATCACTAGATCTAGACTCTACTTAACTCTACTATAATAGATCTAGATCTAATTCAATTTCTAGACTAGAAATTATTGAGTTATTGAGTTACTTCTTTTGACTAGATCTAGATTTACTCGATTTAACTAGAAGTCTAGATCTAGCTCATGTTGTTGTAGCTAGCTAGCCTGCAGCCTGGCACGGCACTGCACTGCAGAGGATGGAGATATAATAGATCTAATCTAGACATTGAAATAATTGAAATAATTAAATCATCTATCTCAGTTGGATGAAAAGAAAAAAATGACTGAAATATTATATTAGATACCCTCCAGGGGTGTCCCTGGGTCCTCCTGTCATTTTATAATAATGATAATAATAATAAATTATATAGATTTACAACAACTTAATAATAATTGTTGGAATCATGAACATGTGGACTAGATTAGATCTACAATTCTAGATCTACATAACAAGTGTCACAAGTCTACTGTAACTGTACATTAGTATTTATTATAGATCCAACCCTATATAGCATATAATAATATAATCCTACTACTTCTACTACTGACTAGTCTAGATTGGAACTAGATCTAGACTAGACAGATTGAACAGAATCAGAAACACACTTTTTTTGGTTAAAAAGAAATATAGGGGCCTAATCTAGACCTTACTAGATCATCTACTAGAATACTAGATCTAGTCTAGAGTCTATATTATTAACTCTTTTTAAGTTGAGTGAGAGGTCTAGACCTAGATAGATCTATCTACTAACTAGATTGATTTTTTTCTCTCTATTATTATTATTCAACGGAAGCTGCCATTTGCAATTTTCTAAAAAACAAAACAAAAAAAGCGACTGACTAAAGAAACAAATTAATCTAGTTATCTAGATCTCTACAAACGAATACAAAGAATTATAAAATCCACTCGAACCCGCCCGCCCAAAACAAAACATAATAAAATAGAGACTAGATTTTTTTTTTTTCAATAGATAGATAGATAGATAGATAGATAGATAGATAGATAGATAGATAGATAGATAGATAGATAGATAGATAGATAGATCTAGTGTGTAGACATAGTGCAGCAACCACTACATTAAACATTAATTACTTATTATTACTTGACGTAGACTTATTAAACTTACTGGCTTTCAACAGCGTATATTTTATGCTAATTTATGCTAATTTATGCAGCTCATTCACTCTCACACACACTCACGCACAGTCGTACCGTACACACCCCTTATGCCAAACATGCAAAACGCAACAACTTTCCAGAAAATCCAACCTATAACATAGACTTCTACGAAAAAATCGCGTAAAAAATACACCGTCTGGACTGATACTCGTGGAGCATGCGAAAACATGCCGAGCACCAATCCCCGCCAGTCAAGACGAGACAAGTCAACCAATGGCGGCGGCGCAAGGCAAAGGCTAGCAGAGAGCTCGGTAATGGCGCGTCGGGTTCTCACGGTGTCTGGCTGGCTAACAGGAGGCAAGGCTAACGCAAGCGCTCTGTACGGCGGTATTCGCTGATCCGCGACTGTGTGTGGCATGCTTACTCTTACGTACGCTGTCTCCCAGTAACTTGGATCGGCACTTGAGATCGTAGCTCGTCGGCTCCCCTTGCTCTTGGGGCCGCGGGCACGTGCGGTGTCCGTAGTTGGTCGCATTTAGCGTGTTGTACGTAGGAAAGAGTTCCGTGCGGCACGGAGAGCTCGATAGTTGGTCTCGTAGAAACCCGGCCCTCGCAACGGGCGTCTGGGTTGGCATAACGAAATTGGGTCCGTTAAGGACGAACGGAGGGTCGAGTCTCCAGCGCGTGTCTGGCTCCCCTCTGTGTCTGGTGGCAACGATGGGAAAAAAAAAAAGCGAGGGGACGCAAAAGGGACCTGTTCTTGAAAGGACAGCATTCTCCCGC